GCAAAATAAAGTTTTGGTTTATATTTACGTCCCCTTGAGGCTTATTCAGTCTGAGGTTTCCTTGCTAAGAAGGATCCACAGCTCTTCTTTTTGCTTTCTCCTAGAGAGACCTGAAGACTGCAAGGCAGAACCACCAAAATGCAGAATAAAGGCTGAGAACATGGCAAGCAACCTCGGTAAGTCCCTGCAAACTGCAAAATGGGTGTCTATTTAACATTGGAGCAAAAGTTGAAATTATATTGAATTATATGAATTGATTCATCTGTGTCTAATTAAGTAATAGCTACCTAATGCATGCTGGAATATATTTTTTTCACCTCAGTGGACACTTGTGCAGTCAAAAAATGAGAGGTAGATGATACCCTGTAGTTAGATATTGAACACTAGACCCTTAGATTTTACATACTGTTCCGCACCCTTGAAATGTTTCCAGGCTGCTATGGTGTCCACTCTTCTAACTCACACCTCTGAGCCAAGCTATACGTCCRGGCTCTAATTCTTCCCCATAAATCAATCCCTGTGGGCCTCCGACTTTTGCTTTCTGTATTTGTATGAGCTGTGCAATTCATTGTGGGCTCAGCTCTTCCCTCTGAACATTAATAAAAATCCCGAGGCTTAGACCAGGGCRAGAAGAGAGTCAGGTTTCTGGGTTCGTTTTATAACTTCTTGAAAGGCGAAGCTGAGGGATGCTTTACATGGTCTGTGCTGAGCAGTAAAGAACCAGGGCAGGACACATTGAGCAGATGGCGATTCTGGCCTGCAGATGAGGCCTAAATTACTGCGTTCAAAACACATCTTTGATACGCTTCCAGCTTTTATCAGATGGTTCCACTCAACGTTTGGCACAGCTGATGCGAAGGGAAGGCSAGGAAAGCAATGAAACGGCGTAAGGAGAGAGGCAGCTCGTGCAAGAAGGGCCCCAGCCYCTTGTGCCTGTGTGCGATGCTGAGCAGAGCTCCCTCTCCACCCCCAGATCCAGGGCACAGTGACCTGGGGACTTCCCTGGCTGCTCTGACTCTTGCAACATCAGCAGAGCTTCTCTCTTTACTCCTACATGCTCTACCCTCATGGCACTTGCATGATTCTTGGCCTGTTTGCAAGGACCTGGCTCCACTCCTGCTATTCCTCTGTTCCTACTGCCACATCACTTCGTGTCGCAAACGGGCGATGCAACAGTAGGTTAAAACAGCTGGGAGTATCGACGGCATGCGAGCAATTCCTTGGAGTTAAGCTCTGTTCTTTGGGTTTTGGCTTTGGGTGTCCTTTGCTCTTAATGCACTCTCCACTTAATCCACCCCTGCCAGTACAAATGCTCTTATTTATGGGGTTGGTAATCGCTTTCTATCAACACGCTCGGAAAATCTGCTCCTTCTGCAAAACTTCACTTTGAGTAAATCCTTCCCCATGAGTGTTCTCAGTACAAGCCTAGCCCAAGCCCTGCCCAGGGCCCACGTGAGGACTTTCCGAGGACTCCCACCGAGCTCCATTGGCCCAGACCATAGGCGAATGCACATCCACGCCCACAAAGCTCAGTTATAAATGGCCCCATGGAAGCTCACAAGAAGGAAAGGACACTCTTTTCCAAAGTCCTTAGGAGGATCTGTGGTTATGTTGACGTTTCTCTACCACGTCTGCTGACGTCTCTACCACGTCTCTACCATGTCTGCTGTCCTTGAGACTGTGGAGCTCTTGGCATGGGCAGTTAGGCTTCTTTCCTGCGACAGCTTTCCAGAAATATGGACTTCTACATTGCTCTGTTCTGCAGTCACAGAGGTTCCTGTAAGTTTGGGGCAAAGGGTCCTATTGACTGCTTGAACACAGGTATGTCATGGGGAGCTAAGTCCAAACTGCTAGACCCTGGCCACAGGGCTGTCCTGTAGGACACAAATGCTCGAGAAGTGCCTTTGACGTCCAGCCTCCCTGCATCGTTATCTACTTCACCTGAGATGCCCTCAAAGACTCTCTAAGGCCAAAAYTGTGCAGAAAGGCGAGGGATTTTCTAGGTGCAGCTCTCCCCGTGTTCAGAAACCAGCATGCCCTCGTGGGACCCAACAAGCTCTTGCCTGCCTCGGTCTTCCTTTTCCTCTGAAATGTGAGCACGGGTGCAAGGGCGGATCTGTGCTCAATGGCTCTCRGCTTCTTATCGTTTTTCAAGCAGCCCTATCACAAAAAGCAAGTTGCAGCACGCTTCCCAGGGGCTTGCAAGTGCCTGTTTTCTGCTCCGTGTTACAYGTGGTCCTCGTGGCCGCAGGAAGCATGAACTGCCTGCAGCTCTGTACTCAACCCACAGCACTGAGGAGAGCAGGATTAAAATGCTAATAGCCCCAGATGAAGCTCATCCCTGGGCTGAGTAGGATAACACCTTGTTTACTGTTGAAATCCCCTTATTTTCTTAGTGATGCAGCCCCTTCCACTGGGGCTAATTCCATTCGAGGAGAGTAGATGTGTAAGAGCCCAGTCTGCTGCAATGTGTGTGGCTGCTGTATTTCTGCTACAGGGAAGCCAGGGATGGATGCCTGGGACGGGGGCTGCTCTCAGCAAAATGAATTTCACTTCCCTCCGTATTTGCTGGCCAGTGGGCTCCKCAGTGACCCAAGGGGTGAAGGTTCACTCTGGTAAGTCGGCCTTTGCTAAAGACTGACAGATGTTTAATATTTCTAGTGCCAGCTCTAAGAACAGGGAGAGAGAAGCTGGAATAGCAATATTTTTTTTCAATGCATTCCATATGTTTCCTCCATAAGTAAAGATTAAACAGTGGTGCAGGTCAGAATAGAAATAAGCCCAGAGGCTGTTCTGCTTTCTGGAGGAGGAATGAGCCTCAGCACGACTTGCCCTTTAGAGGGGAAAGTCTTCTGACCTGCCTTGAGAGTCTGTTCTCATAGAGGCAGGTGGATGACTTGTGGTTCACACTGTGGTGCTTTTGCCTTTCCAATTTCCACCCTTGCTTCAAGGGCTTGTTGACCGTCACTCCACCCGCCTTGTGGAACATGCTGCTTTTTTGACTCATCAATTTGGAGGCTCCTGGCATCCTCCTCCTGATGCATGGAGCGACATGCTCACACCTGGTGATCAAACAGTGTGATCAAAGCTTTGCTTCTCCCTGTTGACAGCTCGTGGTCTCTCCTTTCAATCAGGGTGAAGCCCTTGGCTGTCTGTGGCTCTGTCCACCTGCCTGGTTTATTCATAACTTGGTGGCCCTGGCCCTGTTGATGCTTCAGGGATACAGGATCTGGCTCAGGGGGACTCTGGAAGGGCGGTCTGAATGTTGCAGAATGTGTTTGGCTTGTCCACACGTCAAGCAGCCTCCCTTTACCTGCCTCTTGGGTCCACCTTGGTTAGCACCCAAAGGAGACACCCAGGGACGTGCCTACCTTTATCCAGCTCCACTTTGAGATTCTCCTTTGCTAGAATACGTGCAAGGAGCAGAAACCACAAATCTCTGCCACTAGCACCCTCATGGTCCCCAGAGCCTCTCCCTGGAGTGTCCTTGCTAACTTACCGCATCGGACACATCCCTAGGGCATCCACGGAGATGCAGATCCTCTTGTTGCAGTCCCTCAGGGAAATGCGTGGAATTTCAGCCTTGTTCAATTGCTACTGCCCCTGGTGAGCTGCAGATGTTGCAAAAATCATCCCCGAGAAAGGCAGAGAGGAGGAAAATGCAGCTACCACGAGGAGAAGGAATGTGCTCTCCCGAAGGGCACGCATGGCATAATTACACCTGAAAAACATGTACCAAAGTCGTTAGAAATTGCTATGGTGATCGCTTCACATGTGTGGGTTTTTTCCTGGGCTAAAGCATAGTTATAGCTAATTGCTGTTTGATTTGCAGTTCCTGTTTATATAGCCATTACATGAATTGTTGAAATGTCTTTGCTTTAAAGGCTTCCTTCTTCCTTTTACTTAAATCATCCTAGAAAAGAGATCATGTTGCGACACTGGGACTTCACGAATGGCCATTAGCTCTCCAATGATCATGCGACGAAGAGCCACGCTAAGCGTGAGGAATTCTGATGTTTTCCCACGGTTAGGATCAGCCAGTGCTTGAATCTGCAGAAACAGCTAGAATTTGAAAATATCTTGGCTGTTTGTTAATGAAAGCCACCTTGGCAAGAGGCTGAGTCTGGATTCACTTGGGGAGATGGAGGATGAGAACTATTTGTTGCAAGCACAAGGATAGGTGCCCTCAACAAGTTGGTTTTGTATTAGGGAGAAGTTCTACYTTTCCGCTCTCTCTTCTCTTTGAGTATTTGGGCCAGGTGGGTGGTGTACAGCAAATATCTATGTCCTATGTGTGTATTTTTTCAGGAGGAGCCAGTGTTTTGGAGCGCTTTTCTGGCTCAGCGTTTTGGAAGYTACCATGCTCTAATGGCCTGCAACGAGGCCAGGTAATTCTTTATCACTTCATTTATTGCAAATCATACGTGTGTGCGCACGAGTGCACAATATATACATATATCTTTGAGCCATCCTCCAAGACGGCTTTGCAGCTTTTATTTTTATAAGGGAATACTGGATTTATGGTGAGGTCCTGGGCCAGTTCAAGGTAAGAAAATAGTCATTTTTTTCCTGCCCTGGAAGAACCTTGTTTTCCTGTGCCATTCAGAATGAAAAACCGAAACTGGAAATGATTTTTTTTAAAAAAATTCTTCCTTCTCTCTTCTCTCTCATTTTTCCAGAAACTTCTCACCTACGGATGTTGCCTCATGGACAGGTGTGCCCATGTACAGGTGTGGGATTGGTGACCTCCTCATCTGCTGTTGGGGGRCTGAGGTCCTCCTGTCCATCCATCCCTCAGCCAGCTTTTCCTCCTTGGAGAATGTCTTTCCTTGCCATTGGATTCCTTGCTATTCCTTGGATCTACGTGTGATGCGTGCAAGTCAACCAAGGCAGGATGCTGATTATGGGCTGGGAGGCTCAGGAGCAAAACCAGATACAAGGTGAGTGATACTCCATAGAAAGCTTGGCTTAAAATGGGTTGGAAAGGGACTTTTAAGATGCCTTTAAGCCCAGGTTGGAATCAGAGCCAGGGAGCCCATCAAACCTCACRGGAACTCAACGTTGCCCTAGAGGGAGGAGAGACCATGGCTCGTGTAATGGTCTAGGTCTTGGGCATTGTACCTTCCCAAAGGAACGATGATCACACGAAAACCCTTTTGAATGTGGTTGACCATGAGCAATCGCTCCAGCCCTTCCTCAGCCACACGCAGGATTCAGAGTAATCACAGAAAACAGGAGCATTACGTTACTAAGAGACAGGATGGAAAAGRAGAGCTGGTGCCATGGCAGCTTTTTGCCTTGGAAAATGGAGGATTTTTCTTCTGTGTTTTTGCTTTTTTTTGCCTTTTCTSTTTGGCTTCTGACTCTGCTCCGAGAAGCCAGATGAGCTCATGGTCTGAGGCTCCAGAGCCGAACATAAGCACAAGTGAGCTGATATTGGCTAGAAATAGGAGCAAAAATAGAGCTATTTACCATCCTGTTTTCCTTTGACACTTGTCGGGAGCAGGAAGCAACTTCAGGGCATGGGCACTCGCACGCAGACACCAAAACACGTCTGTAAGCCCCACGGCTTCCCCTTATATCCCCTCTGGAGTGGCAGGAGCCGGGCACCCTCAGAGCCGAATTGTGACATGTTTTCGTGGAGACCAACTCAGACGACTTAAAAATTCATCTGATTCTTTGCCCAGACACTGTCAACTCTCCCTTTCCCGCTCACCCTCCATTTCAGCTGCTGGATGTGCAAGGACAGTTGCATTTTTTGGGGGCAACTTCCAGTGCTCCAAATTTCAGTTTTTGGTTCACTAGGGGGAAAAACAAATTCTTGTTGATATATTTTTGTGAGAAACAGAGTGATGGGCATGAGTGGGTTCAGATGCCCGGGTACCTAGGTAGTGCTGGAGCCAGTGAATTAGCCAAGGGGACATTGACTGAGCTTCCTCCTCCGGATGGATTCAGTAGGGAAAGGACTTGGACCCATTTCCAAGCCACCGTCCTGTCACTGGATGGGACATCTGGCTGCTGCCATGTGTCCCTGGCACTTAAGCCATGCCTAAGCTCTGGCAATGCATAACACTGGCCTAGGAAGTCGCTTGCTCAAGCTTGGATATCCCCACCACGTGCAGTGGGTGTAAATAAACTGATTTCTGTGAAGCTGCATTGATTTTCCTAAGTATCTGAGCCCACATCTCGGTTTCTCTCGGCCTCTCTTGCTGATTCACAGCTCATTAAGGAAAGAGGAAGATTCAAAACCACAGCATCCCAGCTGGTGGCTTTTTCCTAATTAAGCACCCTTTGAACTGCTGAATATCTGAAAGCTYCTGCCCATTCAGCACAGGAGTGTCTGGGGATATATGATGTATTTTTAACCAGACTCTTCTGAGGAAGATGATAATACACTGGGGGCTCCTCCCTGCAATTCTGTAAAGCCTCTGCGTTTGGAAGATGATTTCAGCTCTGGTCTTTATATTTTAAGTAGAAGGCAGAGAAAGAATGAGCTCATGATGGAAATAAGACTAGACTTCCTTCAGTGTTTTTAGGTCCTGATTTTTGAGGTCCTAGGTTTGGAGGGATCTGCATATTTTCCAAATSTGATCTGCTGCTTCTGATGGTAGAAACGTGGTTCCCACCACCAGCTCTGTATCTTATCAGTAGTCTCAGGATATTTGGCATTCCCCTGGTGGCCACAACCCTGGACCTATCTGGCTGTGGAAGGATATCAACTTTCTTTGAAGAAAAACAGCAAGTTATAATCCGCAATGAGACTCCTAAAGAGCCGGATGAGCAGGGAAGTGACACAAGAACGATATTAAATGGAGTATTTGGAGGCATCTCATGATTCTTGAAGGTTTGAGGTTGTTATGGCTCTGGTGTCTGCTGCTCTTGCTTTCTCCTTACCTACCTACCATCCACCAAGTGCTTTGAGAGGAACTGCTGTCACGCAGGAAGGATTGCCTTGGGAATGAGATGTGGCAATTGAGTCTTTCCATTGTAAGAGCGGCTTGTTCCCATTCTGACCACGCTGGTGGCAGCCTGAGGTTACAGCAAGTTTGTTCTGGGCCACAAGCTGCTGCAGGGGGACAGGTTTTCCAACAGTGTGAATGGACACGGACTAAAAGCAATTTACTCTGCCTGTAGAAATGCATCAGGAGCCCAATCAGCCTTGTTGGAGGCAGCTGTTAAAAAACCTGTTCTACACAAACCCCACCTGATTAGTGGAGGCATCGGATACACCTTTATTCCACTGCAATTATTGCTGACACTCAGCTTGATTTGAAAATCAATAGTAGTCCTGTTATTTAAACATGTTGAGCAAAGCCAAAATAGTGTGTGCAGTTTCCACCCTCTGGCTGGCCATCAGCTGAGCTATTTTCAGCGTCTGCAACRCAAACGTGTGTTTAGTTGCAAAGACTTTCGGGCGTAGGAACTCGCTGTCCAACCTGGTGCAACTTGATTGAAGGAGTATCCGATATTGGCCTTTCAAAGGGAGACACAGGCAATACCCAGGGCTACTTTTGCAGGCAAAGAGAGCTGGAACTACTCTGATTTTCAAGAACAACAACAGGGATCTTTTGCAGAGATTCAGGGAAAACAGGTTCTGGGCTATTTGGGCACAAAATCAGTTCCGCCAAAGTCTGTTTCTCTTGCAGAAGGGCCTGATTCTGCAAGTCACTGAGCTGCTTTGGGAAGGACAGGTTGCTCCAGGCTTTGCAAAGGTTTCCCGATGACCACTAAGGACTTATGGATTCCAGTGAACTGGGGAAAAGGAAAGGAAGCAAAGGAAAATGCTAAGAAGAAGGAAGCCCCTGGCTGAAACATAACAAAGTCTGGATTAAATCCTAAAAGATCCTAAAAGGAGAAAATCGGAGGCGTGTTTTTTGTCCTGGCAGAAGAGTAATTTTATTTGATTTTTCTTCAATTGCTCCCATGGYCAGCAGCACTGAAAGAATGACAGGAGAAGAAAAATGAGGACTTCCGTGCATTTGAAAATCCTCTACTCTGTTGTGCTTAGAGGCCCTTTCTTATTACAAAAGGCTTCGTCCTGTGAACGTGTAACCAAGAAGMCAGTTTTGCGCAGCTGGAATAACGCTTCATGACGACTTGTGGAGGTGGTGGGACTTGGAAAAGTTAATGAGAAACACAAGCTTGCAAAAAGTGGGTAGGGAAGAAAGGGCTAGAGATGCACTAAGGTGGCTTGATTCCAGATCGRAACATCTAATGACTCAGTGCATGCTGATCTCCGAGCGAAGGATGTTGTTAACCCCTCGATTATTTCTCCATCCGTGGACTCATTATGGTAGGTTTTAACGTACTGAAGACGTGAGTCACTATTCCAGCTCCTATAAGGCAGAAGATCCCAAGGGAAAACAGTAAATGGGTCCTCACTACGTGCTATGGGTATGACTGGCCACAGGAACTCTCTGCAGCTGGGTCATCCCAAGGGAATCGTCACCAAACCAATGTGGCAATCCCGCACCAGGATGGCGGCTGGGCAAACGGAACCATAAAACCAAGTTAATTTTTGGATTTGTGTGCACAGCGGGAACCTTGCTTTCGAGGGCTGATGTCCCCACTTCCCATCAGCATCCCGGCTTCCCTCTAGCTTGGGACTGTCCTGTTTCCTTGGATGAAAGCTCATTTCCCAGGCCCATGGAGTGTCCTACAGCTACTGTGGCTGTCTGCATAGTTTTGGCTATTGCTATCCCTGCTCCCAGGGAACATCTGATCAGAAGCTCTGGATTTCTCCTGAAAACTTACGAATGAAATTTTCAATTAAATAAAAAAACCTTTTTCCCCCCCCCATCCCCAGACTTCACTGAACTACTCTTTAAAAACCAAATCCTTATATATTTTGAACTCAAAAACATCTGGATTTCCAAGCCTCAGGAAATTACAACTCCCAATCTGGAAATAAAATGCATGTTTGTCCATATATCACATTAATTAAAACCTATAATATGGAAAGAAGCTGGTAAAATGTTTTCCTGATGGCTACTGGATTTGCATAGCAATTCTTCACATTGCATATTGCAGATACTATTAGTAGTATTACTGAGAGGGTTATATTTTCCTTTATATCAGCTGAGTATAGAGGAAATGAGAGGTGTTCTTTACTGATTAAGAGAGAAAAAGACCTGGTCTCAGTGCTTTGTTAATTATTTATGTGCATTGTCTTGTATCGGGGGATCCCAATGACTTTGAGACTTACTCAATTATTGATTTTTCTTTTTTTCTTTAGCATGTGATTTTAGCAAGGAAGAGGTTTTTTTATCACCAGGCCAAATGCTCTGAATTATGATGCTCCTAATTTATCGAAGCAAGCTCTGATGGAACCAAGATGACAGCGGATCCGTTTCCCAGTCTGCTACTGGGAGGGCTGTGGTCGTGTTGTTCTATCTCTCATTTCTCTCTCAGACAGTTTCCCATCTGCCCGTGTTAAGCAGCGAGTGGGAAAAGCCTCGAGATGGAGTTTTTCTCAGAGTTAATATTCACAGGATTTTGTGAGGAAGTCCCGAGCCACATTTCTGCAGCTCCTGGCCCGCGAGCTGCGCGGGAGGAAATGCCACATCAGAAACATTCCTGCCACTGGGAAACATGAGTGGAGTGACTGGGAAAAGTGCAGCCTTTGGTTATTCTTGGTGGGTTCTGCATTTTTTCCTGGTGAGGTACCGCGCACGGAAACCCATCGGATAGTCTGTGGTCAGCACGTTTACCATAAACGGAGCAGTTGCACGTCGTTAACTCCCTGTTAGCTCA